TGATGGGAAGTTGACTTGCACAGACAAACAAAATCAATCAATCTAGGATGGCTCAATTACAATACTAGTAGCTTGGTAGCTATTTGTTTAACATCAAACCTTTAGGTAGTAAAGTAAAGAAAGAAGAAAAGGGAGAGAAAGGGATGGGTAGGGTGGGAGTGTTGAGGATTTTGAATTCAATTCTGAATTTTACAGGTGGCCAATGCAGAGAAGCCAAGACAGCAGTAATATGATATCCTTGTTCCTTGTTAATAGTAAAACATTTGAATAAATATGATAACAGTACATTGAATTATAAACCATGTATGTAAAATGTATTTATATCTCCATCTTTACTCTATCTACAGAATGTGTTGGCTAAGGCGTTGTATGACAATGTGGCAGAATCACCGGATGAGCTGTCGTTCCGCAAGGGAGACATTATGACTGTGTTGGAGCGTGACACACAGGGACTGGATGGCTGGTGGCTCTGCTCCCTCCACGGTCGCCAAGGCATTGTCCCCGGCAACCGCCTGAAGATTCTGGTCGGCATGTATGACAGCAAGCACCAGCATCAGTCCATGCCATTCACGCCAGATCCAGCCGTTGCCTGTTCCACCACCCTGGCGCAGCGACCTCTCGCCCCTCAGAGTGCTTACACCCAACCAACTCTTGCTCCATCTTCTGCCATTGCTACATCTTCTGGGTTTGCCAACAAGCCCCTTCCCTCAGCTCAGTATACGTCCATGCACCCAAACTACTCCATCCCCAGTCCTTCACAGCCCAACCTTGACTCTGTCTATATGATGCCCCCCTCACACAGCCCAAAATCATCCCCAAGTTCCCATGGTCTTTACCAGGTCCCCTCTGGCCCAGGTGGACCCACTCCACTGGCTGTGCCAGGACCCCCCAGCAAGGCACCAGCTTTAGCGCAGAGACACTACCAGCTGCCTGCAAAGGACATCTACCAGGTGCCCCCTTCTGTTGGCCCAGGGCCAGGCCAGGGAGCAGCCCTGACTGGTGGTACAGGAGCTGGGCAGGATGTGTACCAGGTGCCATCATCCTGGGAGAGCAGCAACAAGCCACTTGGGAAGGTAAGGCAGAGGTAGAGTCAGGAATAAGTGAAGAAACTAAATGAAGAAGAAGTGGAGAAAAGTGCTGCCTGTAGATGTACTGTATGAATGTGTGTGTGAATAGGATAATGGCAAAACTGTACTGTAAGGTGCTTTGAGGGGTAATCAAGAAAAACACTATACTGACCATTTACCATATGGCACTCACCAGCCACTCACGACTTTATATTATCATTGGTAGTGAGAAATAACTGAACATAAGGGGTAATTCCCTACAAAACTCTCCAACAACACCATGGGACATTAAAGGTAGATGTTGGTAAGGCAAATTAATAATAAAAAATAATAAAACAAATACAATCAAACATAATTTCCTCAATGTTCATACTGTAAGATAAAAATAATTATACTGGATTATACAACCTGGATACTATAGTGTCAACCTAATATTCACAAATCACATTAGGCATTAATCATATGGCTTAACAATGTGCAACATCCCCTGTCTTAAACCCTCAACAAACATAAGGAAAAACGTATTTACCTCAAAGAGAGCCACATGTGAGGGATCCCTCTCCCAGGATGGACAGAAATGCAATAGATGTAGCTGAACATATCAATAGAATTAAAATATTCATGACATTGATTAGAAGAAACCGTTTTTAGCATTATGGAAAGTTGTGTCAATCTTTAATGTATTTATGCATAAGGAAATAGAGATCAAGGGAGCAGCAATGACAATTGAAATTGATATTGCCAGTAATCGTAGAATATGTGAGTAGGCATATTGTATATGAAGCAGTCTTGGTGTCATCATAGTCCATGATCATCTGCCACCATGATCATGAGCCACCACAATCATGATTCATCACCACGATCCACCATCATGATTCACAATCTACAATCACGATCCACGTATTAGATCACGATCCATCCCTACAATGCACCACCACCAACCACAATACATCATTATGATCCATGATCAGCTGCCAACATGATTGCAATTCACCACCACTATCAACGATAAGCCACGGTCATAAATGCAAAATGTTCATACATTTTCAGTATTTTAACACTTTAAATGCCAGTTATTCCACAGTTTTTCACGTGAAAAAACACAAGAAATTAAATATTTTCCATATACTACATGATAATTTTGGAGGGTTAACAGAGCCTGGCATATGTCGCTGATAAGCAACAAGTTTATGTTTTTGCATTATTAGTTTTTATGTAGTATCACATTAAAAGGAAAATTCCTCCCATTACGGTAAGGATGTGTATGCAAATATGCCCCTCGACCAAAACTACTATAAAAATAATATATACTATGTTTTTTTTAACATATGATTTTTTTTTACCACCTTCAGTTCTGTTAAAAAAATACTAAATAATTACCTGCATTTAATCCTTTAAAATACCAGTTTGTTCATATAATACTAACAATTTTAATATGAAGAACAAAGCATTAATATCCATATGTCAAAAAGCAAGGGGGAATGCATGTACATTATGTTTTTGAGGTTATCACAGCCTTGGATATGTCAATGATTACCAACACACACCCACCGACACATGCACAGATACACTGAAAGCTTAGCATTCTGTAACTCATATACAGAAATTACATTACATTACATTTCATCTAGCTGACACTTTTATCCAAAGTAACTCACAATAAGTGCATCAACCATGAGGGAACAAACCCAGAACAACAAGAATCAAGTAAGTATGGTTTGCTTCAAAAAATTACACAGTGCCACATGTAACCGCATATGAGTGAAGTAATACATTTTTGGGGAATTGGTTATTATGCATTATCTTCTTCACCAAGATGTAGTCGGAAGAGATGTGTCTTTAGTCTGCGGCAGATGTGTAGACTTTCTGCTGTCCTGGTGTCAATGGGGAGCTCATTCCACCATTTAGGAGCCAGGACAGCAAACAGTTGTGATTTTGTTGAGTGGTTAGTTCGCAGTGAGGGAGCAGCAAGCCGATTGGCAGATGCAGAGTTGAGTAGACGGGCTAGTTTGACCATGTCCTTGATGTAAACTGGACCCAATCCGTTCATAGCATGGTATGCAAGTACTAGTGTTTTGAAATGGATGTGGGCAGCCACTGGTAACCAGTGAAGGGAGCGGAGTAGTGTGAGTGAATTTAGGTAAGTTAAAGACCAGTCAAGCTGCAATCTAGATTGGCTGCAGCGGTTGGATTGCACTAGCAGGTAGACCAGCCGAGAGTGAGTTAAAGTAGTCTAGGCGTGAGATGACCAGAGCCTAGACCAGAACCTGTGCCGCCTTCTGAGTAAGAAGGGGACATATTCTCCTTATGTTGTGCAGCATGTATCTACGCAAGCAGGTTGTTGCAGTAATGTTGGCAGTAAGGGAGAGTTGACTGTCGAGTGTCACACCCAGGTTTCTAGCAGTCTGGGTGGGGGCTACCACGGAGTTGTCAATGGTAATAGTCAGGTCATGGGTGGGAGAGCCTTTCCCTGGAATGAAAAGCAGTTCGGTCTTGTCATGGTTAATTTTCAGGTTGTGTGTGGACATCCACTGAGAGATGTCAGTCAGACAGGCAGAAATTTGCGCTGCTACCTGTGTTTCAAAGTGGGGAAAAGAGAGGATTAGTTGGGTATCATCTGCGTAGCTGCGGTAAGAAAACCCATGTGAGTGAATGAAAGAGCCAAGAGACTTGGTGTACAGAGAGAAGCGGAGGGGACCCCAGTAGTGAGAGGACATGGTTCTGATACAGATCCTCTCCAAGTTAACCAGTAAGTGCAGTCATTGAGGTAGGATGAGAGCAGGGAGAGAGTAGAGCCTGAGACACTTAAATCCTGAAGGGAAGAAATAAGGATCTAGTGGTTAACTGTGTCAAATGCTGTAGAAAGATCTAGAAGGATGAGGACAGAGGAGAGAGAGGCTGCTCTAGCAGTGTGAAGTTGCTCAGACACAACAAGGAGGGCAGTCTCAGTTCAGTGGCCTGCCTTGAAGCCAGACTGGTGAGGATCAAGAAGGTTGCTAAGGTGAAGATATGAGGAGAGTTGATTAAAGATAGCTCGCTCAAATGCTTTGGAAAAAAAGGTAGAAGAGAGACAGGTCTGTAGTTGATTACTTCAATCGGGTTGAGGGTGGGTTTCTTCCTCCTTTACCCTTGCCTCCTTAAGAGAGTTAGGGAAATAGCTAGTTAGCAGGGAAGTGTTATTAAATTAATAAATAAGCAAATTTGAGGTTTCAGATGTTGTATTGTATTGAGTGTACACTGTGTTGCATGTGTGAAAACACCAAAAATCACACCAAATTTGCATGTTCTGATTTGCAATCCAAAATGGCAGCCTTTCTGTTGGGTGCAGCTAGAGAGTTTTCTGTGCATCTGGGCATGATACATGTGTACCAGTTTTCATTATTCTTGGCAAAAGTAAACCTTCACATGTCTCAAGGCTTCCCTGACCTATTTTTAGGCTGATCAAATGAAAAAGCTAGGCGTAGCATGTCAAAGTATAAAACATGGTATTGTCACAGCTAGGGGGCACTGTGGCTATTAAAGTATATTGGCATATAGAACTCTTTGGGGCAGGTTCTTTATCACACAAATACAGTTTGACAGTAATTGGAGCAAAAACATGCAGATTACAGTTACTTGAAGGTTCTTGGTGAGACATCATGTAAAACATGACATTTCCTGTTACAGCTAGGGGGCACTAGGACTAATATGATAATAGTATTATCATATGGAGCTGTCCAGGGCAAGATTTTTAATGTACATATATATAAGTCTGAGCAGGATACACATTTGTCGATTTTCATAACTCTTGGCGAAAGTAAATAAATAGGAAGACCACATGGTGAAATCGAATTAAAGTTGTCAAATGAGGCTTACTTCCTGTTGCCAGTAGGTGGCACTAACACTACACACAGACTAATAATTCTGTTCGGGTCAGGGCTCTGATGAAGCCTGAGCAATTTGAGGCCGATTTGACAATGTGCAGTCAAGTTCACTATCACTACTATCAGGCCAGGACTCTGATCATGTGAGAGGATTTTGGTGCTGATTGGACAATGACTAGTTGTGAAAAGGGTAAACTGTCCTTGTTACAGCCACATTCTTCATGTCCTTATTATACTATTACCTCTCAGTATAGATGAATTAAACTCTTGGCTACATTTAAAATGTTTAATAGGAAGAGAGAGAGGTGTGTGTGAGTCAGCTGGGATTTCTCCTCACGCTGAGAACTTGTGTAATGGAGTTCAATGGAGTTCCCTCTTCTGAATGTTTCAGTAGCTCACACACACAAAATGTGACTCGCGAGAGATTTCAGCGTGCAGTGCACACACCAAAATCGTAAAATCTGTTCATCGTCAACCTACACAGTGGTGTTAAAAACAACTTCATTTTCACTGTTCAGTAGGTGGTGCTATGACTCTAACTGAAATTTGACACATGGAGCTGTTCAGGCAGGCTCTCCGATCGTAGGTTTAATTTTGGTGCTGATTGGATAATGCACAGTGGAGTTATGACAACTTTGACGAAGGATCAACCTTCATCGCATTCAATGTCTACATATTTTGAGGAAATTGTGACCATGGTCCTATGACTTGTCTGAGCTCATTTGATCTGTACATTGTAAACTAGCCAGGAGCAGTGCATCAAAGTATAATACATATCTTTTCCTGTGATGATGTGTCAATATTTGACACATGAATCTGTTCAAGGCGGGACTGTGACTGTGTGAAAGAGGTTTGGGACTGTTCAGACAATGCACAGAGGAGTTATAATTAATCCTTCTTTTTTGGCTGATCATCAACATTTGACGCTACGCCACGGTCACACCGTGTGACGCACACTAAAACTTTGAATTAATTTGAATCTCCATAGAGTTGAGATGAAACTCAACAAACTAATTTAAAGTTTATCTGATGAAACCTCTAGGAGGAGTTCATTCAAATACATGTGTAAATGGTAAAATTACCTCTACCGATTTTGTATATGCCGGTCAAACAGAGTGCCAGGGCTGCTCTTTAGGGGGTGCT